GACGGTATAGCTAATTATCTAATCTATTTCAATGTTGATTGCGTTGTTCCTGAATCTTCGAATTGGATCCGGCTTTTATTTTGCAGACTGTAGACCAATTTTTAAAAGTAAGCTTGAAACTTCGATTATGTCAAATAGAATTTCCGATGCGCACCAGATCTACAAACGAAAGTATGTTTCAATGTCCATTAACAAAAATTGGAATGCTACAAAAAAGGATAAAGGCATAGCCTTTGTTATCTAACTTAACGTCCAAAATCGTTTATCAATTTCCGCGCTCGTGGAGGGGGGGACATCGCAGGCCAATGAACTGGAAGTTGATCTGTCAGCACTATCGTTATCTTCAGGGCGATGTTTTTATTTATTCGCTTTAATCCTCTAAATGTAGTCATCTCGATGTACTCCGTCTTGATATGATTTAAATCAAATCCTCGTCATTATAAATATCACGAATACAAATCAAATAGTTTTGGTTGCAATTTTCTAATTTCGGCTATGCGTAATGTATGCTTACGCATGCGCGTTGAAAGAATGTTTATAAGTAAACAAATAAATATTAAGCTTCTTTTTTGTAAATTTGATACCCTTAGATCATAATTACTCCTTATTTATAAATTACGGTTTCATATTTAATTTATAATTTCTGCATGCCATCTTACAGTTTAAACTGATGAGATTAATCGAATCGCCAAAGTTCCGATAGTCCGGATTAAAGACTTTTGACTGTATATCTTTTATTAACATCATGTTCGTTAATATAATCACCTTATGAGCTTTTTTTAACATAGTGTATTTTTAAAACCATACTGGTCATCCAGATCACCCATTACACTATTCATTTTATTTGAAATAATATCACAGTTTTAAGAACTAATCTTGTAAAACCTAGCAAGAGAAAAATTAGTTTAATATGCCAATGAAATTTTTGTATGTAAGACCAAAAGTGATTATCCAGTATATTTTATTTGGTGTAATGATTTTTTTTTTTTTTTTTTTTTTTTTTTTTTTTCCTAATGGCTAGCATAGTTGTGGAAAAACATGAAATTATGTGTAGACCTTAAGCAAGTGAATATTTTAGTAACTTCAATTTCCAGTTAATACTTTTTTATTAAGTTTTTTATACAAAATGAAGCATGTTAAAATTTTATGACATAAAACTGTTATAAAGCATTAAATTTGGAATATTCTTTAAATATTTTCCTTGATTTGTAGTGAAGTTAATTTTCTTACATTGTGCTATAATGCTTTTAAACTTTAAAAAGAATTTATTTTGCATTGTATTTGATCAGTTCCTAAACTTACATTCCTTTCTTTTTCATGCTAATGAATTCAAGAAACTGAGCATGTATATATAAATATTTAAAAGAGGAAAATAGTGTTGAAAAAATACTGCAGTATAGAATTACTCTGGTTTAATGGGTGTTATAACTGTACTGTTATCCCTAATTAACATTTTATGTACAGTTCTGTACAGCATACATATTTACATATATTACATACATAAAATCACTGATTTCTCAAAAACTTTTAAATAAAATTAAATGAATTTTTTTTAGATAATACAATAATCTACAGATTTCAGTGCCAAAACTTGTGCAAATTAGTGATTTTTTCTCTTTTTTTTTCTGGCCTATGGTGGGCACTTACCTATAGCAGCATTGGCCACTACTAAGGCCAGAAGTGGTGGCCATTTTTATTGTGGAGGCACCTAATAAGCAGCCACCACTACCTCCTATTAAGAGACAGATAATTTTACATCCATGCCTTCTCCGGGCCCTTCGGTATCGCAGTCAGCCTCTCTTAACCACTATACCGTTTGGGCAGGTGAAATTTATGAATTATTCATCAAGTCTTAATTTTGTTTGCAGTTTTCTTTTCCTAATTTTCTCTTTAAAGCTTGATTATTTGCACACAATAATTAAAACAAACAGCATTAAGAATTTTTAATATAAAGCTATTGTATTTTAAATATAATATATATATATATATAGTATTTTGTTATGTTCCTTTTCATTATTTTTTAATTGGGGTATTATTTGTTTAAAAGTTTTGGATTTAATATTTTTTAAATTCTTTGTTCCATTTAGAAGATTATTTGAAATTTATTAATTATGAATTTTACTTTAGACTTTGTGCAAAATTAGTTCTAAATTTCTTAACTTTGTCTTTACTATATATATATTATATGTGTGTCTGTATTAATGCTATAAATGAAACTTTTAAATTTTTTAACATCATTCCCCACCAGTAGCCTAATGGTTAAGGCTATTGAATACTGATTGTTTGTCCTGGGGTTGAACTCAGATGAATGGGCTGGCTGCATGATTTCAGGATTTTCTTTTTGCACATGACTATGAGCCAGTTTCTCAGATACATATAAAATAGCATGCAAAAGTATCCCTCATCTTCAGAAGATAGCCTGAGTATGCTTTATCATATCTAAATAACCCTAACCTGTAGAACCAGTGGCCAAGTGATTGAGACTACTGAATATTGGTAGTTCAACTGCATCTAAATCCATCTAAATAGGTTAGTTGCATCAGAGTTTTTCATAATTCTCCTTATGTATGATATGAGCCATGGGGAGCTGACTATGATACCAAAGGGCTAGGCTTCAAATCCCAGAGAATGCATGGATGTAAATTGTCTGCCCCCTCATAAGAGGTAATGGTGGCTGCCTGTTTAGGTGCCTCAATAAAATTACCACCACTTTTGACCTTAGTAGCAGCAAAAGCTTAAAAATGATTTGCGCTCACCATAAAATAAATAAATTAAAATAAAATAAAAATAAAACCTAGAAAATCCTACTTTAGGCATGTGCATTGTCACATTCAAATAAACTGGCCTTAACTCTTGGAATATCATTTCTATTGTTACTTACTTTTAACACTTTAAGGTGTATCTTGCCTCTTTTTCTTTTAAAAAAACTGTGTTTTCCTATAACTTCCTTTAGGTACTGTTGACATAATGCTAATGCTTCATTAGCATTCAAGTAATTTTATGTTTTTTTTTTTTTTTTTTTTTTCCCCTCAGTATCTGAATTTTTGTTATCTAAGTGAAATACACTCGAAATAATTTCATCATAAATCACTTGGAATTTAATAAGAGCCTCATCTTTGGAAGTTTAAAAGTTCAGGTATAATATAAATTAAAATTTGAAAAAGAAATTGATGAATGAAATAACATGAAACAGAGAGAAGAAAAAAGCATATGTTAGAATCAGACTCGGTGTCTGAATTTTTGTCAACTGGTTGAACTCTCTTATCAAAAAGCATTGATGAAACATTTGACATAAACAAATTCGCATATCACAGGCAAAATTACTTTCAGACTAAGTTGTGTCTGCATAATATTGTTTGATATTGCAGTTTAAGTTTGATATTTGTTTAAGTTTGATATTGCAATTGTTATAATTATTTAAGTTTGATATTGCAATTATTCATATAAAGCAGCAAAAGATACAGTTATATTAGTAGGGGCTTTTTGTTGTGATATATCAAAATTATTTTCCACCTTTATATTTTTAAAGAGTCGTGTACAGTCAAAAGTCGTTAATCCGGACTCGTCGGGACTTCGGCAATTCTGGATTATCGATTTTTCCGGATTTCCGATAAAATGGCATGCAGAAATTCTAAAATTAAAAATATGAAACCGTAATTTATGAAATAAAGAACAATTAGATCTAAAGGGTATTAAATTACAAAAAAAAAAAAAAAAAGCTTAATATTTATTTGTTTACTTTATTAAACATTTCTTTCAATGTAAGTTGTTTAAGTTGCTTGTTTAGGTGATAATGCTTTCTCTTTAATTCTATAAAAAGACATAATTTCTTGTTCAGTACAAGTTCCGCTGTTCAAGACCGTAATTGCTGTGCCGAGAATGCCGACTAACTTGTCAATCGAAATTTTTTCGTTTTCACTAACCTCTCCGTCACCTTCTTTATGTCTTTATCCATTTTTTGCAGCAATTCCACTTTTGTTTGATGGACATCGAAATGTACTTCGTTTTGGATCCTTTGGGAGCTCCAGCATCGGAAATTCTATTTGACATAATCGAAAAGTTCAGTTACTTTTATAAAATTGCTTTACAGTCTGAAAAAGTAATAAGGCGGATCCAGTTCGAAGATTAGGAAAACGCAATTCAACATTAACTGAAATAAATAATTAGATAATTTTAGCTCATACCGTCCATTATACATTAAACACGCACGCAAAAACGTATTTTGCACTTGCGCACACGCACATGCGCAGTCGTAAAGGTCTTACGCGCACGCGTAAACACCTATGCGCATGTGTCAACGCGACACATGCGCAGAAAGTTTTTAGTTTTGGGGTCCGGATTATAGATCATTCTGGATTATGGGTGTCCGAATTAACGACTTTTGACTGTATATATAAATTTGAAGAAAGCAAAATTCACATATAGCATATTTAGCAAAATTCATGTATAGCATAAATTCATATAATTTCAAGTGTTCTATAATTTGTACTGCAAAACTGCAATGTGATTTAAAATATGAAAGGTTTTCCTGTGCGTGTAGTAATGAGCCATTTTAATATTTTAGGTGGATTTGTGGAAAAAATATATAACATGGGAAAAAAGTAATCCTCTGAGGACAGAAGACCATGCTATTCTCACAAAAAGAGGTAGATTTTTTATATCGGAGGAATTTTGCATCTTGATTTGATTATGCAGCTATAAATATATCAAAATCTTAAAAAAAATTGAAAGTCACATTATTTATTGCATTTTAATTTTTTTCATCGCACTAAATTCCTTTGAATATATTATTACGAAATGTCTAGCTTAAGTAAGATAGTTTCCCCACAAGGTGGGGAAGAACTTAATGAAAAGCTTGAGATTGAAATTCATGCTGAACTTTAATATGTATAAGTTTAAATTGTTATGTCGTTAATTTGTGTATATAACTTGTACATAGTGTAAATATTTTTTTTAAGTTATTTTATTTGTTTATTTTATTAGATTTTGTTTGTATGGAATCTGCCTTTTATATGCAGTCCTTGGGAGGGGAGCAGTGTCCAGCCATGGTAAGATAGCTTCCCCCACAAATGGGTTTAGGGTTGCCAGAAAATAACAAGGTTGCCATATTTGGCGAGAAATTGTCAATTTTGTGACAAAATTGGCAATACATTATTAGTGCCTTGTCTAACAAGTCCATCATCAGTTGGTCATTGGAGTATCAAGTCTAGTGAGTGCATCTTCGAGTCTATTGACTGCATTGCAAATTGTAGCAAGGAGAGTCTCGAGAGCATGTTGAGTTCCGAGAACGACCAAACAGAATCGGGAGCTGTACTTTGGTGCTTTGCCATGAAGCTGTCTTCACCGTTATAGCCTGAAGGCCGGAATTTCAAGAGTATGTTGAGTTCCGAGAACAACCGAACCAAGTGGGGGGAGCTGTACTCTGATACTTTGCCATGAAGCTGTCTTCACCGTTAGAGCCTGATAACCTGAAGGCTGTGCTGCTGATTGTTTCAGCATGTCAGTCATATGACCACGAATGTGCTTTTAGAACTGTCCTGAGTAATACTGGCTAATTAATTGTATTTTCATTCTTCATCAAGTGTTGTCAATCGCTCCAAATCCACGAACCCGTGTAAAACGCAACAATATGATAAAAGTAATAATTTTAAAAATTATGTAAATACAGAAAGATATAAATAATTCTTATATTCAACTCTAGAGGAAATCTAAATCTAACTTTTTGCAAGTGCAAATGGAAAAGAATGATAACGAATGTGTTTTATTTGAATGATGAATATGTGCCATTGCTAAAGTGCTGAAAAACAACAGCAAGCGCAAATAACTTTGATTTTTTTTTTTTTTTCTTCTTTTTGTTCTTGGAAACTTGTTTATAGGTAACTGGAGAAAAATGTCTGATGAGTTAAAAGACTATTAATAATATTTTTCAGAAATTAGAATTCTTTATAAATCAACAATAAGTATTTTAATTCTCCAAACAGAAAAGTTGAGAAAAATGTTGAGTTGATTAAAATCGTATGAGCATACTTTTCTTTTATTTAATTTCCTATATACATCATAAAAGCAATCATAGAATCAGTTGCGAAGCTGTAACTTAATTACATTTTCACACTGAATTGTTTTCGATCTGTTTTGAAGTAGCATTGTATCTTAATATTTTGATTTAAAAGCTTATTATATTTGAGTGCTTTTAAATTACAAGTTATTGGTCTTCCTTTCTGTATTCTTCTGTTTTACTTTATTAATAAGATGATAAACTATCATCTGTTTAAGACAGTATAATGCTGTAATGTTTTTATAATGTATTTTTAGTATAATTAATATTATTTTCATATTTCAGTTATGTTTGCCTATGAACAGTGTTTATTATGTCTTGGACATCATCCTGATATATGGTATGAAGCAGCATTGTTCCTTGAACAGTCTAGTAAACTCCTGACAGAGAAAGGGGTTAGTTTTCATTCACTTTATCATTTGATTTGTTTTTTATTCAAATCAAATGCTTTCAGATACACTTATATCATATGAAATTCATTGACATAGCTGCAATGTGCCTATTTAGTTTTGGTTTTGAAGAAATTTTATTTGTTTAATCTATTCGGTATTATATCTTAGTTTCAGATTATTAATTTAAATACTATTTACTTCTCTCTGCATTGTATATCTGCAGTCAGTGAAGCTGTAAGTCAGGTAATTCTAATTTCTTTGCAGGATCTAGCTGCTGGTAAATTGTTTAGTGAAGAAGCTGCTGCTATTTATGAGCGTGCAACTACAACTTTTTTGAAGACAAACATGCTGTTATATTTTGCATATGCTGATTTTGAAGAAGTAAGATGTCTGATGTGTATATTTTTAAAGTAATTTGTGTATATGTATTTTCCCAATAGCATCACTGTCACAAATATTATATTTTTTAGGGTCGCATGAAATATGATAAAGTCCATCAAATTTATAATAAGTTCATTGAGAATCCAGACATTGATCCAACATTGGTAAGTATGAAAATTTTTTTAATTTCTTTTATCTGTGAAGTATATGCTATTAAATTTCACAACAAAATATTTTTGCATGTAAAATTCTACTTTTCCCATTAAATAAAAGTTCATAATGTGAGTTTCTAAAATATTTATTTTCTGTACTATAAAGTGCAAAAATGCTTCAGAGTAGTACCTATTTTTGTATTCAATAGGCATACATTCAATATATGAAGTTTGCAAGGAGGGCTGAAGGCATCAAGGTTGCTAGATCTATATTTAGGAAAACCAGAGAAAATCCAAGTACTAAGCACCATGTGTATGTTGCAGCAGCATGGATGGAATATTATTGCACCAAAGTTAGTTTTAGAAGTACAAAGTATTATTTTATGCCTTGTTGTCTTAAATTATGCTTTTATTTATTTATCTATTTACTTGATAGAAATAAAAATAGCAGTTGCAAGGCTTTCACTATTTAATACTAGCAGCTTCGCTGCCAGCCTTCGTCTGGCTTTTAAATGTACCGGAAAAATGGCTGAAGGGAATACCAAATGTTAAATTTAAAAACTGCGTAGAATTTTACTCTGCAGAACAACTTCATAAAAAAAGTTATTATGTATAACAAAATTACAATGAAATAAGCAATATCCTTTAATACAAATAAATTAACCAACTTCCCTTTGCAAAATCTTAAGAACGCAAATGGTATAAAGAAGGTTAAAAACTTTGTTTCCTAAAAAAATCACTCAAAACTTTTCAGTTTCTTAAAAACAGTGAAATGAGAGCAATAAATAACATAAAAGAATACAAAAAACAAAAAATTCTGAAAAGCAAAGTATAATTAATGATATTTTATCCTATATTTTCAAGAGAAAAATATTACAATGAAATAAGCTATATTCCTTAATACAAATATTAATTATCCTAATAAAAAAATTAACCAACTTTCCATTGAAGAAAAAAAAAAATCATGCAAAACTTTTCAATATCTTACAGTGAAAGCAAAAAATAACATGAAAGCAACTCAAAAAATAAAAAATTCCACGCAGAATTTTACTCTGCAGAACAACTTTATCAAAAAAAAATATATATACATATATAAAAATGACAATGAAATATGCCAATCTCTTAAAAACAGTGACATAAGAAATACGATGAAAAATTGTTGCCAAACCCATATTTCTAAAAGAATGAAACTATTCAAAATGATGCGATTTCATCAAAAATCTATCAACAACAATAAGACAGGAAAATTGTTGCCAAAATCACATTTTTAAAGATGTAAGAAGTGTACTCAAAAGCTTCATTTAAAATTTTTTTAAAAAATACATAATATTATCATTTTTCCAAAATTCTTTTGGTAAAAGCAGTCGCAAGGATGAAAGTTTAACGTGTCCAAAAATCAAAGAAAAATTAACGTTTTTAGAAAAAATCCCGTTGAAAAGGTGTTAAGCTCCCTTTGATAAATAAATTCGTATTTAATCGATTTATTGAAACACGAAATTTATTTTAAGTTCATAAAGTAGCTAAGTGCCTACATTTCGTGACGATGTGAAAATGGCGTGTGTAGAGTAAAATCTCGCTTTCCTATAACGCATTATGTCTCAAATGATGCGATTTCATCACAAAACATAAAATAAAAAAAAATTCGAATTCAAATTTCGAAAAAATCGCTTCGAGGTGCTTTGGCTCTTGTCTAGATGCACCTATGACCTCTAGATGCTAATTTTTATCATGAATATAACACACTAATAGTTCATATTTAAAATAATTAAACTTCTTTATTTAAAAAAATTAATTAGGTTACAAAACAAAGAAGTTGAATAACATGAATCTTAAAAGGGACAGACATTTATGCCTACGATCTCACATTTTAAGATTTATATCTAAAAAATTTCTATTGATTTTTTTTAATGTTTTGAATTATAGAAATATATTTATAGTCATCTTTATGCAATGCATTGCTCAAATTAAACTTTAAACATAATTTGGGACTGCATATGTAAGCAAAATTTGAAAATGGTCCATGAATTATACTCTCATTTTTTGCAGACATAAAAAGAATATAAAGAAATTAAATGAACATTTCCATATATGAATATACAAATCATTCTGATTTTATTTTTTCATAAGTAGAATAAAGTTCCATCAATTTCTCAGCTTTTATTCCTTTAAGCAAAACATATGTAACTCCAAATGTCCACTCTTAATAGAATTATCTTGGGTAGATCAATAACCTTAAAAAAATGTAATTATTTATCTTTTTCGAAGATTAATTTAATTTTGGAAACATATTAAAACTAAAGTAGCTAAAGCAGTAAATTATAATTGAAATAATTGCACCAAATTTTTTAGCCGTGGGTCTATTAGCTTACGCGCAGCATGAACAAAAGACAGACACGCACACACAGACAGACTCTTTCTTTTATATGTAGAGATGGGATAACTTCATTGCCATTGCTAATTATTGGCCTTCAGAGCTTTCAGATTTTGAAATGAAATGAATGTCAATTCTTTTCTGAATATGTTTGAAAAGCATATTAATTTCAATAGAAATTTATTTTACTTGTTTTAATATATGCTTTATTTTGTTAAGTTATTAAATGGAAAATTAAATATTAATTTTTACATGCTTATTTGAATAGCTGCAGTTTAAGTATGTTTAAAATTTCTGAAATAAGTTGTAAAAAATTGAATAGTTTTATTAAGGTTCTTCCCTTACATATGTTTCTGAAGCTAGAATTAATTCAAAGCTAATTAGCTTGAAGCACAAAATGAAATATCGATAAGTCCCATTTTCAAATTGTGCTTATATTTGCTGTCCCAAAAGAAAAGAAAAAAATTCAAGATAAATTAATATATAAAGTTTAATTTTGAGCAATGCCTTGCATAAAATGACTATAAATATATTTCTACAATTTAAAATATAAAAAAAATTAGGAAATGAATAAAAATAATTTGTCTTCCACTTCATGTCATGTTCGTTACCGTGAGATTATTTTACCCCCAATTAGTTTATAAATTTGACTAAAGGGGGGCAGTACACATTCAAAGTAGTCAAACTTAGCTTAACTAGTTTATCTATGTCACTGAATATGTACTGCCCCTTTTACACAGATTTGCAAACTAATTTTGGGTAAAATAATCTCAAGGTGACTTGACATGAAGTGGAAGACAAATTATTTTCTTGTTGATTTGTTAAAGAAAAAAATTTCTGTAATTAATTTTTATCATGAATATAACACACTAATAGTTCATATTTAAAATAATTAAACTTCTTTATTTAAAAAAATTAATTAGGTTACAAAACAAAGAAGTTGAATAACATGAATCTTAAAAGGGACAGACATTTTTGCCTACGATCTCACATTTTAAGATTTATATCTAAAAAATTTCTATTGATTTTTTTAATGTTTTGAATTATAGAAATATATTTATAGTCATCTTTATGCAATGCATTGCTCAAATTAAACTTTAAACATAATTTGGGACTGCATATGTAAGCAAAATTTGAAAATGGTCCATGAATTATACTCTCATTTTTTGCAGACATAAAAAGAATATAAAGAAATTAAATGAACATTTCCATATATGAATATACAAATCATTCCGATTTTATTTTTTCATAAGTAGAATAAAGTTCCATCAATTTCTCAGCGTTTATTCCTTTAAGCAAAACATATGTAACTCCAAATGTCCATTCTTAATAGAATGATCTTGGGTAGATCAATAACCTTAAAAAAATATAATTATTTATCTTTTCTGAAGATTAATTTAATTTTGGAAACATATTAAAACTAAAGTAGCTAAAGCAGTAAATTATAATTGAAATAATTAAATGCTGTTATATATACATGTACTTATTTGATCTTTTTCAGAATTTTCAGGTTTTCAAAAAATATGCTTTTAGAAAATTATTACTGTAGATCAGAGATACCCAACAGGGTTGATAGCCTGTTGCATCAGCAATTTTTCAGCACAATCAAGATCTCAAATTACAAAAAATAAAATAAATAAAATAAAAGTAAAGTTGATAATTAATGGTTTACTGATTAAAAGCTATACCATGTTATAAGGAAGGAAAGGTATAAAATAAACATAAGGGAAAATACATGAAAACTATTTCACATATTTTAAAAATCAATTGTGTAAATACATTTTTATGCAATAACAGCAACATAAACAAGTAAAATGCAAAAAACACAATTTGCTTCTCTACATCGAGGTACATTGGCTCTCTAAAGATTGCAGCATTTTATAGATATTTTTAATACTATAATAGAAAGTTTCCTTGAGGGTGACAACTATATAGCAAAACAATCAATTTAAAAAAATCATATAGTCTACTTAAATGATATATATCATAATACATTGTCACACAAAACAAACTGCAAGGAAGAGACATCAATTTCATTGAACCTAGAGTGATTAGCTTTGTTTTTATTCTGAAACTGACTTGCTTATATCAACACTGAATCAAAAAGTATTCCATTACTTTCATAGCTGAATGCAATTGTCCATAATAGAAAGATTGTACTTCCTCAGACGATGTATTGTTATATGCAAGCCATTACAAAGAGATTTTAATGTTCTCTTCCAAAGCACTGGAAATTTAAATGTGCCAGGATGTTTCCAGAACCACTGAACTGCGATATAGCTGATCTTGATATTATGATACATGAAGAGCTGATTGCATTAAAGGAGAATGTTCAAGCATAAATCCTGTTATAAACACATGGCTACATTAAGTTTTTGAATTCAAAGATCATCTGAGAGAAATATCTTAAAATAAAATTACCAACATTATTGTCATTATTTTTCATCTTACATAATGGAAGCTGGCTTTAGGTAAGTTATTACAGAAATTAAGAAATGGAACATTTTTAAATGAGGGAATTTAAGAATTAAGCTGAGAAATTTTATGTCAAATGCTTAAAAAATCGCGTCATTTATCAAGAAGATCCATATTAAAATCGAACTTTCAATCAAACTTACTTTTCAATAAAATATCAAAGAGTTTGGAAATAAAAATAAAAATGAAGAAAATTGTTACTTCTACTTTATTATGGCTTTCGCTATTTAAATAGTGCCAATGTTTAGTGCACCAGTGGTTACCATACGACCAGCAATCTTAATGTCTGTTACTTGTAGTGTACCTGGTCAAGAGAAGAGCTCTTAGTATGATTGCTGCTTTGATATAGTCCATTGATAATAAGGGTAACAGGTTTAATATTTTAAGTTTAAAAGCTACATGATTGAAGTCCTTGAGATGAAAAAATGCTTAACCCTCAGAGAAATTAAAAGCAATTGTAGAAATATGGCCACCACAAATTATGCAAGAAGTAAATATGTTTGCTATGTATATTCTGAATTTTTCTTAATCATAATGATAATACAGTGTCATTTATATAACAGCGGCTGTAATAATACAAAAGGAGCAAAAAATATTTTAATCTGTACAAAAGTCAAATGCTTTTGCTATTGAAATTTTTATAATGTGTCACAAGTTCTTGTAAGTCTTGCCAATGAACCAAACTATCTCATAATTTTAACGAAATCACTTGCAACCACAGACTTTTATCTTAAATTTTCTCATTACTGACATTTTAGTCTTTCACAAATTATTCTGTCATTTGTGTACAATATTGCCAGTCATGCAGTATTTTTCCATGTGTTACACAAGCTGGAGTGAATTTCACCTGCTTTTCACCCTTTAATTTGAAAAATTCCAATAACAGTGAATCTTGCTAAAAAAAATTTGAGGAATTTAATTAAAAAAAAATAGCTGTTATAAAAAAGGAGTGCATTTTAACTAATTTTTAAATATATTAAAATAGAGTATTTACATGATGTTCTTTAAGTGTTATGATGTAATATAAAAAAATATAAAATGCATTGCATCTCTGGAAAATGAATTAAAAAATGAGAATATTATTATAGTGAATATTTTTGTCTTCTCCTATAGGACAAGACCATTGCTTTTAAAATATTTGAATTAGGTCTCAAGAAATATGGTGATAATCCTGATTATGTATTAGCATATATTGATTATCTCTCTCACCTTAATGGTAAGTTATAGTTAACAATTTTTTTCAGTATTTTTATTATAATACAAAACAAAGCAAAGCACATGTTCACTAGGAAGATATTATCTTCATTTCATTTATACTAAAATAAAGAACTAATATAAAGCTCAAAGTCTGATTCTAAAAAGTTATTAAACCTATTCAATTTTAAGTTCTTAAATGCCAGAAATATAATTATTAATATTATCAATTGTTCTAATTGCAGTTAGTGTATAGTATTTTATGTAAAATATTATGCTATACTTATTCTGCTTTTCTAGATGACAATAATACAAGAGTACTTTTTGAAAAAGTTCTAGCATCAGGAAGTTTACCACCAGAAAGACAAGTGTAAGCCTAATACTACTATTTTTTCAAATGTAGATTTAACTATGTAAATCATATCATAAATAATGATATTCTACAGTGATAATCAATTGAATCTTTATTAAAATTGCAAATCAAAAAAATTTTGAAAGTTTTATTTTTAACATTGTTTCTTGGAGTTATTTTGAATTATCCATAATTAATATATCTATTATGCTTGATTTTAAACATGTGCAATATGTCAATAATTTGTAATAGGACAGAATTGTTATTATTATTATTAAGTATATATACATAAGTGTATTTTAAATTGATTACAACAAGCATAAATTTCCAGTATATAATTTGAGTATATTTCACCAAATATTTTTGTCATTACTTTTTCCTGCTTTTGTTTTAATGTCCTGACTTGTACATTGTTATGAATATATCTGTCACTCTAAATGTTTTTGATATTCATTAGTACATAATTAGGAAGACTAAATATGCGTTGATTTAAAACAGCACTTTTAAAAATAAAAAATTCTTTTATTATAAGTCTGAGATATTTTCATTGAACTTTTAGGCAGGGCGAGTATTACTAGTGTTCACTTCCACCAATATGTGTTATTTACAGCTATTACATTATTGCAGATTATTTCATTAGATGCTTTCAGTTGTAATCTTAATGTAGAGTAAAATATTACATTCTTCTTATTATTAACATCATTATGAGGATACATTTCCACATTGTAATAATAGCTCAGCAGAATAATTGAATAATAGTAGTACAGTACAGAGTCTGTAATCCGGACGTCCATTATTCGGAATGATCTATAATCCGGACCTCAAAGCCACAGACTTGTGCATGCGCGTAATGCGTTTATGCATACGCTGCGCATGCACGTAAAGCCAGTAAAGCATTTACCCATGCGCGCTTCCGATAGTGAAGAAAGTAACAGAGAACATTATTGAAAATGAAAAAAATTCAATTCACAAGTTAGTCGGTATTCTCGACACAGCAATTACAGGACTTGAACAGTGGAACTTTGTAACTGAACAAGAAATTATGTCTGTTTATAGAATTAAAGAGAAATTATTAGCAAAAAAAAACGAAGCAACTTAAACAACTTACATTGAAAGAAATGTTTACTAAAGTAAACAAATAAATAATAAGCTTTTTTTTTCTTTGTAAATTTTGATACCCTTTAGATCATAATTGCTCTTTATTTCATAAATTATGGTTTCATATTTTTAATTGTATAATTTCTGCATGCCATCTTACCAGATTTAAATTGATGATCTATAATTCGGGGAAAACCCTAATCCGGAATCGCCGAAGTCCCAATGAGTCTGGATTACGGACTTTGTACTTTAGTAATAAACTATCAAGTAGCCTGATGTAACATATAACATTTTAATAATTTCTTACATAGTTATGAGCATTTGAGGAAAATTTAATTTCAAATGCTCATAACTAGATAAGACCAATGCTAATTTATACTTTTAAAAATATTTGCTAAAAATTTGATGAGATCCCAACTTGTCTCATAGGATATTTTGTAAAAATAAAATTACTTACATTTTTTTAACCATATTATTGTTCTTGCTCTAAAGTTTCAATATGGCTTCTGCTGCCCTTAATGTAAATAAACCATCTTATTTTTTTTATACAGATAATAATTCAAATGCTAAGTAATAATAAATATTATAATAGATAATGGGGCAAAATCACCTGTAAAATTTTTTATAGTTTGTTTCTGTAAGATATGATTCACTTTATTAATTATGTGTGACTTTGTTTTAACTTATGCTCATTTTAGTGAAATATGGAATAAATTTCTCGAGTTTGAATCAAATGTTGGTGATTTGGCAAGCATCTTAAAAGTAGAAAAGAGGCGAGCTGCTGTTATTGAACAGGTATTGTGTAACAAATATTTTAAAAGAGCATTTCTTGTTAAAATTTCCCCCTTTTTAAAATTATTCTTGATCCATCTAGGTGTTCAATAGTTTATGTTGCTAATTTTATATATAATGAATAAAATATATAGATTATATTTCTAAAAAGTCACAGCTCTGAGAATTTTTTAATTTTAAAAGAAAGGTGTTTTTTTTGGGGGGGGACGTTAAAGTAATTGAATTTCTGCATATCATGCCTTTTTAATTCTGCCAGCAGAGCTGCATAGTTACAAGAAAAGAAAACAGCTTTCTTATTTTATGTATGGGCTGACACAAAAGATGTCACATCCTTTGTTTTTTTACTATTCGCTTGCATGACCAGTTGCCTAAAATAATTACTATGAAAACGGGGGAAAAATATGTATGATTCAATGAGTCCAGCTAGTAATTATTCAGATGAAGAACTGCATTTATATCCAGCATGTTTGGGAAGTTTTGGGAAGACATAAAGCTGCTGTCAGTTCTCCTTTTCAGATCCTTGCCATGCTTGCAAATGCTTTACAAGAGCAATGGCTCTTGCTTCCTATGGAACTCAAACAACGCATAATTGACTGCATCACACATCACTGTATGTGTTCTGTTGCTTCTAGGCGAGATCATACCCCATATTGAAGAGAATTTTCTTATGCCAAACTGATAAATCCAATTTGTTCATTTTATATATATGCTAATTTCTATAGCATCATGATTGCCTGGTAATTTTGTTTCATGTTATTTTATACCTTAATGTGTGTTATATACCGTAGGTCAGTTTCATTAAATTCTACATGTAACATTTTGAGTAATCATCATTTTTGTGATTTGTCCTCAGTTAATGATAACCAGTGTACAGATTCTTGATTATTTAGTAACAGAGATTATACATTTATTAATCACCAAAATATTACAAACTGAATGTATAGCTGATTGTCTGAGCATGGCAATGAGCTCAGTGCAGAATGTATTCAATGTGTGCACTAGTGAATCTCTCCATGCAAGTTAAAATGTATCTGCAGTCTTTTAATGGGGGAAGTGGGCCGACTATTTATATATATATATGTATATGGCTGAACCTGGCAGTGGGTGACATAAATGTATTTTTGACATATTGACATTACTGACATAAATGCAACAGGAATTTTAGTATGCTGATGAATTTTAGATTTTTGGATCATTAAACAATTTTTGCACAAATTCTTTACATAGCTATTGAGTGATCTCCATATAAATTGAGTTTTTATTAGATTTGTAGTTGCTTTTACACATGGATGAGATGGGTTGTGTAAAGTTTCAAAAACTTGAAATTTGAACTTCTGAGGTGCATATGATCAGATGTTTTTGAAGGTATGTCATAATAAATTGGAAGATTTGTTAAAGGGAAATTTAATTGCTTTAAAACAAGACCAGTATTGGATTTGAAAAACGTTTGCGGATCACTGTCATTTTCTTGAGCACAAGCCATTTCATCACAATTAACAGCTTGAGGTGACTGAATTTCTAAAATTCTCAAAAAAGCATCTGCAACTGTGTTATTACTTCCAGAAACATTTCTGAAATTGGTAGTGGAATGTGATATGAATTCTAAATGATGTAGGTGACGAGGTGTTGCTTTATCGTGTTTTTGTTGTAGGGCATAAATCAAAGGTTTGTGATTGGTGAATACCACAAAATCTTAGCCTTCGACCATGTGCTGAAAAAATGTAATTGCTGAATAAATCATGAAAAGCTCTGTATCATAAGTGCTGTACTTAGATTCAGAATGTGTTAATTTCCTGGAATAACATCCTATGGGTTCAATAAATTGCTTTAGATCCTCTACAGTCTTAGTTGGCAGGTTATTCAATTACAATATTTATCTTTTCTGGTAATACCAGAAAACCTAGAAATAGAAAATCTTTTTGCCACAAAACATATTTAGCTAAATTAAGTCCATAGCTCTTGAATCGTTCAAACACCTTTTCGGCTTGTCGGCTTTCTGTATGTTTTCACCCTCATATGCTATGAAAACATCATTAAGCATAACAACAATCTAAATCTCACAAAACTTGATCAATAAATCTTTGAAATGTTTTAAGCTGCATTTTTTAACCCAAATGACTCATATAATCCAACAGAAATGATTGTTGCTGTCTTACCTTTAACATATTGTTGCATTAGAATGTCGTGATAAACCTTGAGAAGATCTATTTTACTGAAAATCCTTTTTCTTGTTAAACTCTGAGAAAAGTCTGTATCTGTGATAAAGGGTAACAATCAGGCAGTAACAATCAATACAAGTAATGGAATTCATTTTCTTGAAATCACCTCAGACTCTCCAATCACTATTTTGGTTTTTAATAAAATGTATAGGAATAGCATAAGGACTTTTCAGAGGCCAAATGATTTCTCATTCCATTAAAGCCTTGAATTCTTTTTTTTTTTTTTTTTTTTTTTTCTTTTTTTTTTTTTTCTTTTAAGTTTTTCACTTTATGATTTGATTAGCATTTAGAAATATATTCATTTATTTACAAGTTGAAGATATCTATGTACAGAAAGGAAAAATATTGTGACAATGCAGTCGTGAAAGTCAAATATAAACAATTTGTTGTTCTAACCTTATCCTCATCAGCAGTTATGTCAACTGCTGATGAAGTTTAATAGTTGTCAAACCACAAACAAAATATCTAAAACATCTAAATATGCATTTTTTACTATTCAATATATAATACTGAAAATTTTATTGAGTGATTTAATGATTTGATATTTTGTGCACTTCCCTGTAAATGATGAAATGTGCAAACATATAAAAAAAATAAGCATTTATTTTTTGTATGTCATTTATTACTGTCATTTGCTGAATCACTGACCATATTAAATATATAAATATTTTGAAGCAAGAGAGTAATATGTAATTGAATAGAACTAACTGAATTTCACAAGCACATTTAATTTTTTTTTTTTTTTTTTTTGTATAAAATATATATAAAAGAATAATGAGTTAATCAAATCATTCATGATTTTTCTTTAGATCATTTTTAACCATAATATTGATCAATAACAAATTAATATTATGGAAATAAAAACAACAAAGTTGTTATTCAGAAATATAAATATATATATATATTTTACAAGTAACTACCATTTAAAGTAGTTCCTATACGTCAGCTTTCTTTCATAGTTAATTCTAATTATAATTCAGATTCCTATTTTCTTTTTTTTTTTTCTTTGATTATATTATCCACAGCTACAAACAACCAAATATGAGAAAGGAATTTTTAATCTTCTGCTATCCTGATATATCATAAATGCATTATTAAAAAGTGAATATTGTTTCTTTTTAAAAAAGGACAGTTTTTTACTCATATTGTCTAATTTTTCCCCTCTGTTTGTTTTAGTTAAAGGAATTTGAAGGGAAAGAAACTGCACTCCTGGTTGACAGATATAAATTCATGGACTTGTATCCTTGTACTCCATCTGAATTAAAATCAGTGGGTTACAAGGTAAAATACAGTTTTGGTCTCATTTATGTGAACTGCATTGTAAAAATATTACCTTAATGTGAATTTATTATTGCCAATCTTTAAAAATTGTTCTTATTATGTTAATCTAAGATTATTAGGTTTAATTAATTTAATGCAAAACATACCTTTTTAACTAGTTTATATAAATTTTTTATTTATTTTTGCTAGCATTAAAAGAAATCTATGTATTTTCATGTTATTTTAATAACTTATTCATCGGCAATAGCAAAATATTTCATTTAAATCTTCCAAAAATAATTAAAAATCATGTATGGATATGAAATCAATTATTTAAATATAATATATAATTTTTTATTCTATGTAATATTTATGGAACTATGAAATATTTTACACTTTTTATTAAAGCATAAAAATATTTTATGTTTACTTTCAAAATCTTACTAAGAGGAAAAGCAAGTATTTAAAAACAAAATTATACTGATTTATTACTGTGTGTCATTAAGTTTCTGTAGTATGACAACTGAGTGCTTGCATGAATATCTTGGTATGAGAGAAAAATAAGTACAGGAGGAATAATTTAGTATTTTGCTGCTATAAAGCATCACTATTGGAAGTATGAAAAGTCTGCAAGTATAAAAAGATTTACCGCATTACAAATTACAATAATACTAGTAAGCTGCCAATTCTGTGATGAACCAAATAAGAGAATATGTGAAACTCGCTTTTGTAAGAATTGCATGGGAACAAGACTGGAAGAATTCAAAAGTAGAGAAAAAATCCAGCTTTAAAACTGGGTGTACATTTTAAGATTTATCAATAAGATTAAATTAAATTAAATAATGAATAAATAATACTAAATAAAGATTAAATGAAGGTGGATAAATTATTTATTTTAACACCGTACTCAAATTTTGCATAACAATGAGCAGTAAAGTTAACAAAATTAATCAAAAACTTCACTGTACATAATATTTTGGGTGAAAATGTTATTAATTCAAATTCGTAGGTAGATTTAATTCAAAATTAACTCTTAATTCAATATGTTTAAATGAAAATGCAAGAAAATTGCATATAATTTAATATTCCATACAAGGAAGTCATGTGGTGTACACATCAGATTTTTTTACATAATAATAATCCTTTTTTAATCTAATTTAGAATCTTCAAATGTTATTTATGATACATTTCCAGATTAATTGTTGGTTTATTTATCTAGCGTGAGGTTTTGATTCAAAAAAAAAAAAAAAAAAAAAAAAAAAAATTGGGTATCTATGTTACTATACTACTTAAATAAGCATACTTATAATAACTAGAGTTATACAGTTTTATACAGAAATTATTAAAATGTTCTCTTAAGATAATTGTGCAGAGTTTAGAATCTCACAATTCTTAGTTTTAGTAATAATACAGGGAAAAAAATCCTCTAAGGGTTTTAGCTGATCAAAGTGTAGCCACCCCTTCTTTGCTTAACACATAATTTGAAAATTAGTACTGAGTTTCCTCTATAAATGTAATTTTTTTTTTATTCTCTTTGTAATTTTTGAAATTCTAAATGATTTTTAAATTTTAACTCTTTCATCATCAATGTTTTATTCTTTTGGGAACAACTGTAGCATTTGCATAATAAATTCCAAATGTTAAAGACCTTTTTTTTTTTTTTTTTGTTTTAAATCTTTACTATTTTTTATGCATTATGATGCATGCTATTGAAAGTGCAGAGATGATCTATACAATAATTTATTATACTCTAGGAAATAGTAAAGCAACATGTTTCAAGTTTGCCATCATCTATGATCGTAATGAAAGACAGTCTTTTAGATGATGGAGACAGGAAACCAGGATATCCTGCACCAGATACATTACAGATGATCCCATATAAGCCAAGACAGATATATCGTAAGCAAACTGATACTGATTTATTTAACTATCTTTATTCCTTCTCTTTTTATATACTGAAAAAATATTTCGCATTCTAAATGTCATTTTGTGTAAGAAAAAAGTATCCAGATTTTAAAAGTTTGTAATCTGTGAAAACAAAGTTAATAGTGGTATTTAAGCGTAATTTTTCTATTCAAGCTTAAATTAATTAATAAGTGTTTCTAAATAGCTAATATCTATATATGTCTAGGTAAGTATAGAAGTAAAATGTAAAATTAATTATATAGTAAAAATGTAAAATTGTACTATCAGGTCAGTCCATAAGTTAGTGCGCATAAAGAGTATGTGTGGAATTCACTATGACGCATTTACTAAAACAATACAATTTTGAACCTGTTGAAACTTGTCATCGTTTGACTAACATATTATTCAGTTCATCACCAACTTTCGTAAATATCGAACGCATTTTAGTACCCATAGAAGATGAATATAGATAATCAGTACAAACGTGGCATGCTACATTTTTTATTTTCGTGTAGTGAATCTGCCTGGTTTGCAGCGATAAAAATTAGTGTACACGATGAACACACTATCAGTGTAAGGACTGCCCAGAAATGGTTTTAAAAAATTTAAAGTTGGAAAAAGCAGCATGGATTATGAACCCTGTTCAGGACGTTTTGAACTGTTAGAACCAAAATCAAATGATTAACTTAGAAGTTTATTGTGAACAATTTTGCCATCTAAACTCAGAATTGATCAGAAAACAGCCACGATCGGTGAATATCAAGAAAGTGTTGTTTCATCGTGATAACGCTAGACCGCATACGGCTCGAACAACGCTGCAAAAAATTAATGAATTTAAGTGGGAGCTTTTGCAACATCCTGCTTACTCCCCAGATATTGTCCAAGTGATTATCACTTATTTCGTGCCTTACAAAATTTTTTACTGGAAAAAAAATTAAATTCTAAACAGGATGTACACAATGAACTTTCAAATTTTTTTTTCATCAAAACCAGAGTCTTTCTACGGCAATGGCATAAAAATGCTGTCTGTAAGATGGCGAGACATTGTAGATAATGGAGGAAAATACATAATTGATTAAAATGTTAAATTGTGTTTTTTTATATTATTTAAAAATTTACCAAAAAATGCACGACTTTATGGACTGACCCAATAGTATGTGAAATTATCTATATATGTATAGACACCAGAGTCTATATATATATATGCTTATCAAGTTAATATTAAAATTTATTTTTTTAATTATTTAAGTGACTAGCAAAATTGTAATAAAGTGCACTTTTAAAAGTTAAAATGTATGAATATTCAAAGTATCTATGACTCTTTCTTTGGATATGGATCCCGAACTCATATTTAAGTTTACATTCTCAAATAAGGCATAGAATTTTATAAAAATATAGTTGAATCTGGAATATATTGATAACACACTCATTATAAAATGTTGTATGTGTATATGAAAATATAATTTAATGAATTGCTGAAGACTGATAATAAAATTTCTCAGATCGAAAAATATTAAGGTAATTAATTATCTCAGTAAAAAGATTAAAGAAATGTATTTTTTATGCAATTATTTATTTTCTTAGAATAGAAATCTGATTTATTGAATTGACTACAATTTGAAATGTTTTAAAGATTTTGCTGTCCCCCCCCCGCTCTTTCTTACTTCAAAATGATATATTTTGTACTTTCTAAATTAAAAACAGATTTGAAATTAATTTTCACTATCCAGCATCGAATTAATTGCTGTTTTTTTAACATTGCATCACCATCACAATATGCCATTAAGATTAATAAACCAGTATTGATAGACACATAATCTTAAAATTGTAAATCTTCAATTTAATCAAAATCTCTTGAATGTTTATATGGTAACAGACATTTAAAAGAGATTTAAGTCTCTGTATTTTACAACATCTCTGTGAGTGTGCATGTAAAAATTGCATTTTATTTTTAACCTTTTAAAGCATAATGAATATTTTTTGTATGAGAAGTAAAACACTGTTACAGATCATTCCTCATGGCTGAAACTTTTTATAAAATTATCTACCTTAATTTGAAAAACTGTAATTGGAAATGCATGTTTAGTATTAATATTTGTGAAAATGAAGCTTACAGTTACCTTTTTCAAGTTTCTTGTATATTGTATTTGATAAGTACTTACAAATACATTCCTTGCAATTATAAATACTGTTTTTTAAAATTATCTATATATGTCTAGACACCAATAGTTGGTGTTCACACATTTTTGTAATGATTTTGCAAAGATTTGTATATAAACAAACTTTAGAATTTTATTTTCTAATATGTTCAATCGGATAACAATTTTCTTGAACTATCATATCCCATCTTGATTTCCACTATAAAAGTCCTTTTATCAAAAAATCAAGGTTGATTTTTTTTCCATTCCTCCTTCACAATTATCCAGAGTCCAACCAATGTTTCGGGATGTCGCTTATAAAGAGCTTGTTTTAAAAGTCCAAATGCACAATAATCCACAGGAGATATATCAGGGGACTTGGGTGGGATGCATTTAAAGAAAATAGCTTCAATTCCAGTATCATTTCTCATTTTTCAAAAAATAAAACAGTAGATTTAGAGGTATGGCTTGGAGCCTTATCCTGATGGAACTTAATACAGTGAAGATTGTTTAGATAATGGATGAGATGGAATTTCTTCATTAAAAAATAGGTGTTAAAACATATTTCTGATGTAGTTCGACTGTCACAAGCGCAACTCTGGTTGGCATTCTGCCAAAACACATAGACTCATCCAAAAGGGGCGATATTACTTGCTGTGATGTGAAAGGTCTTCTCTTCTCCAGAAAAAGCTATGCTGGAGGGAAAGAAAGTCCCCATCCTTCCACCCTATTTTGAGAATAACTCGGTCTGAATGGCGCATGCGTGTTTGCGCTCATGGTCGCGGATGAGGCGGTAATCCAAATTAATTTTGCCGATTTTAGTCCAAAGGGGCTTTGTCCCTGAAAGACTATTATTTTCGTTTTGCGTTGAATCACTATAAATGTTCGCTTCACTTTTCAAACTGTTGCCACCTAATGTTAGAGTCCTGCATTATATTTGAAGAAATTAAATAATGAAAAATCTGCTAAATGTATGTATATTTGTGCATTGTGATAAAACAACGGTACAAAAAGCCATCGAGTTTTGAATGACGTAATCCTACCGCGAGTATGGGCACGTGAAAGCCAAAATTTGGAATTTGTTTTATTATCGATTTCATATTTTGTAAAACTTTAACGAATTTTTGAGTAACAAATTCAACGATTTGAAAGTGAGCAATGGCAACAGTCTACGGGGGGGACCTTTTTATCCCCAGCATGCGGAACTGTGTATCAGAAATTCCAAAGATAGGTTCATTTTAAAATTATTTTGCGACATTGCTATTGAACTGAAATTTATGGTTTAAGTGCGAAGAACATGATATTTAATAAATAAAGGTAACACACAAAACGTTAAAAAAATGCCCCTTTAGACATAATTTAAAATCTGAAACCTTCAGATTTTTTATTATTATTATTATTATTATTTTTACTTTCCTTATTTTAAGTTTTCTGTTATAAGAGAATCCAGTAATAACCATAAAACCTTCAGCTTCATCAATTGTAACTACATATTTCCATTTTTCTCCTGTCAAATAATTTTCATACAGCAATCCTAGTCTTACGCCAAGAAACATGTTTTGCAATTAGGTGATGAACATCATGTTTTTATTATTATTATTATTAGCTTTAAATCAAATTTTATTCACAGTTCCTACACACATATTTAAAGATGTTGCAAAAACTCTTTTGGGGGGGAATTTGATTTCCCTTTAAAACATGAGATTTAATTAGACCTGTATGTACCTTTGTTGGGTATGCATTTTTTTCCCAGTCAGATGTAAACGTTGATGTTTCCTACCATTTATATTAATTATGTCACTTATTTGATGTGTTGAAATATTAAAGGCATGCTTTTCACATCTTTTCACTTCCTTGTACGAAGTAAAAAGGAAGTATTGTAATCACAAAAAGTTTTTTTTAATAACTGAACAAGAGTCTTTCTCTTCAGACAATGCAAAAATATAGCCTTCAATCCATTGTTGATTTTTCAGCAACATTTTAAAGAAAAGAATATTTTTAATGCTGCTGACAATAATTAAACCTTATTCCAATTGGATGCTAGTCACGTTTGTATTTTAAAATTAATATTTAAATTCAATTATTAAAAATCGAATCATTACAAAAATGTGTGAACACCCTCTGTAGAACCACATCAGAATCTATATATGTTAAAATTATCTATGTTTATCCAATAACTTAATAATATAAATATTTCCTGTTTGAAAATCAATGTAATCCTTATATTTCTGGAACCAGCATACACATTCAAGAATAATGCAATGACTATGTTTAAAAAAAATACTATATTTTGCTCTGATTTTATGAATTTAATTCTTACAGCCACTGCTGCCCATCCGGTGCCTGGTGGTGTATTTCCCGCTCCTCCAAGTGCTTCATATTTAATGACATTACTTCCACCACCTACATCCTTTTATGTAAGTGTTTGTAAATCAGTACTACTCTCTCCTGTTTCAATCTCAGGATGTATTAATAGAATTATATTCTTGTATTATTCAGGGTCCATTTGTTGGAGTTGACGAGTTGATTAAAGTTATCAAAATGTGGCGGCCTCCAGAGAATGGTATGTTTCTGTTTCATAATTCAAGTATATTATTAAAAAATCACTTTTTTAATTAACACAATTTGTTAAATATTTTTTATTTAAATTCATTTAGATATAATAATTTTATATTAGAATGTTTAAAGTTTTTCTATTTGAGATTAAATTCATTCATTTCTAAAGGTAAATCTACTGCAATATATTTCAGTTGTATTAAATTTTTAAAAAAATATCAATCTCGGAATTAATTAAAAAGTAGTGCATTGAGGGTGATGTCTTTTAACATGGATTTAGATGCAGATATTATTTTTTGTTTGTTTTAAAATAGCTTTTGATTTTACTTTGGTTACTTGTAGAACCAGAAATGGAATTTTTTTTCTATCTCATATAATATCTTTGTACGCTAATACTCCAGCAGTAGCATAGGCACAACTTTTGCTGATTTTTTCAAAGCACACCAAAAAATCTATAATATGTTCAAAATAACATACAGGGGAGGAAAACTAATTTCAGTTTCTAAAGTGCTGTTGTTTTGCTATTCTATTAGAAAACTTTTCTGATATACTAGATATTTTTTCATTACTCGTGCTGTTTTCCTGTAGACAATAAGGTAAGATTTCTTAAATGCAAGGTAACTCATTTTAGGTCTGAGATGTTCCCTAATTGGTTTGTATTTAGAAAAATTTCTCTCGCAACAGTTTTGTAAAAAAAATTCACAATAATATTACAGTACACAGAACAGTTTTCTGGTTTTGATTTGGTTTATTGGACTATAGTAAAGCATGTGAGGGCTGTCTGCTTAAGGGGGGGAATGCCTTTGTGAAGGACATTTTAAAAAAAAACTGGTTTAACACTTAAACTTCCCCAGTACACACGAGGAAATCTAGATAAATGCCTGTTCACCTGTAATCAGATCAGTGTTCAATGTGCTGCTGGTGACCTAACTTATTAAACTCCAAAAATTGAAAGCAAATGTCCTTTCATCTCTGTTTTGTGAGAGTCCCAAACAGTGACACAAATAAAGTACTGGAGTATTTTTCTATCAGTGTGAAATTTTTCATTATTTATTTCGCTGTAATTATAATTTGAGATTTGTATTTTTCATTTAAAGTTTTGATGGAATAAGGAGAGCATAGCAAAAACATGAACTGTTTGAGAGCTGTAATTTCTTTGAATATTCTGTCTGGTTTAAAGACAATATTCCTCATTTCAGTTTTGTACGATCATTTGTCGTCTCACGGTTTTTCGCACCGTTGATGAACAAGTGGATAACTTGTAGCTAAATACTTGTAGTTTGATCTAGAGCCAAATCTATTGGCTAGTTACATGAGTATTTTGGTGGCTTACCTTATGTGTAATGTATGACAGGAACAAAAGCCAGTGTTTCTTTTATGATATGAATATGAGTCCCTTTGTCCCTTCCCTTAAAAACAGATAACTGTGGTGAGCTTTAATATGATACAATAAATCCCAATCCTTTTTGTTTTAAAGATCTATATAACTAACAATTGTATTTTTTGCATGAAAAATGCCACCCCCAGAAATGTGCTGGCCTTATGGACTACTTCTTCCATTATTACTTTTAGCCAGACCACCGCAGTATTGCAGTGAATGCTCAGAATGAATTAACAAAAAAGCTATAAATGAACTAATGTTAAGCATAGTCAGTTTAGTATATGATAAATAGTGATTAATGAACATTCTTGAATATTGTTTATAAAACAAGTTTTACTTTATTTCTACTTTTTATTCTAACTAATATATATACACTAAAATACCTATATAGGGGGTCTATGGGAATGCCTTTCATAAAAAAAAAAAAAAAAGTTATAAATAGTGTCATCAGAAGGTATTTTACTTTGAAAAACTGTAGTAAAAATGTAAATCTTTGTCGGTGTCATGCAGCAGCTGTTGTAAAACATAGAAACATTAGCGGAGACGTTGTTTTCAATGTGCTTGTTGCTTACAATGACAGTAAGTTTACGAGATCGTGCTTCAAAACGGTAATTTTGCAGTAGCTGCTCTTAGAAATTTTCGGACTTTGAAGGAGATTCTAAGATGTCCAATGAACGTTAAAAACCTTTGGAAAATGATAATGAAATGTGAAGAAATGGGATCGCTTTCTGTACGTCCTGTATGAGGAAAAAAATCCTGTTTCTGCAGAAGCAATACAGGAGGTTACACTTCAGGTTGCAGAGGACCCAGCTTCAAACTTTCAGGCTAGCACCAGTGTCCGGGCTATAGCAGAAGCTCTGGATAGACCACGTTTAACTGTCTATAAAATCTTGCACAATATCCTCTGATATTATTCTTATGAACTTTCACTAGTGCAGCGGTTGCTTCCACATGATTTTGATGCTTTACTCCGGTTCCCCTGATGATGCTATTTGTAACCAATTTTTATTTTTCGCTGAAAGATATTCTCATCCCTTCATTAAGTCAGCCACAAAATTTCACAATTTTCTTATCACTGGTTTTGCTTAGGCAGCTTTAAAATAGGGTTCCTTAATTATAGATACCCCGTATTATGTTGCTTAAGAAAATATTGCCAGGTCCATAAAAATGAGACACTTTTTAAAAAAAAAAGCATTTATTTTTCACACCGTTTCTTGTTCTACAAATTTTTAAAACAAAATTAATATTGAGGAATAATAATTCAAATAATACAGTACAAGAAATTAAATCAGAATAACTAAAATACATGAATTACATTATTCATGGCTTTACAATTCTGCCACTACTGGTGGCGAAAAGAATTTGATCATCTTGAGTACATTATCCAATTCCAGTTTAAACAATCGCTGTAGTCAGCCACAAAATTTCACAATTTTCTTATCACTGGTTTTGCTTAGGCAGCTTTAAAATAGGGTTCCTTAATTATAGATAGAGTTACATTTTTCTATATGCAGTTTATCAGTGTATTAGAAAAATATAAAATAATGATCTGGAACTATATTATTATATAGTTTCAGATCATTATTTTATATTTTAACACCTTTTAATAATAATATTATAATACTTTTTATAATTTAACACCTTTTAATAATAAAATGTGCAGTATTAAATTAACATTTTAATTGTATTATTTTATTATGAAAAATAACTTTAATGGGATAAAGATAATAAAATGTCTATTTTAAACAAGTTTTGTACGTTACTTCTATTATTTTGCAGTGAATAAAAAAGTAATGTTTAGGTTTAATTTTTACTGCATAAAAATAGTAGATTGTGCATTTTGTTTTTATGCAAATAAAAGTAAATTAGTCGAAACATGTTGTGTATTGGGATAAATAATTAAATATTTTTACTGAATTTTATCAAAAAAAGAGCTGGTTTTGTATTTTGTTTGTGTAAGTTAAAAAATGTTTCATTTTTTGACTGTTGAACTATAATACACTACCCGACATTAAAAATGCAATAATACCAAGGAGTGGCCAAAAAGTGATGAAACTCAGCATAGAGAGAGAGACAGCAATGAACAATAAGTGACCTTTATTTTGAAATTATATGCATAGAGTAAAAACAGCATCAGTTCAGTAAGTTGTAGGACTACCTTGGATGAAGGCACATCACAAAGCAACACATCTAAGTACACAGTGGATGAGACTACAGATGGTGTCCTGACGAATGGCTCTCCAGAACAGCAGTGGCCAGGGAAACATCCATACACCTTGCAGAGCACATTGCCTCATGGGAGCAGTGTGTGGTCAGGCGTTATCCTGCTGATAAAGGGCACTGTTAAAGCATAGCAAGTATGCTATAACAGGGTGATTCTAAATTGCTTTTACAAATTAAGAGGGGTGATAGTACCTATCCAAATGAGCAATAATTACCATAGAACATAGGGTCACATTCCACTTTGAGAGGCAGAAAAGAGGAGAGCAGAAACACATTGAGGAAGAACAAAGAGACTATCTCCTAAGAATTAACCGTATGAAATTTTGCACTGAGAAGCGGCAGCATTTTGGTCTTAGTTGGTACCGGAGAAAGCTAATCAGAGCAAATGGTGTCCTTGATAAAATCAGACTTTTCATGACTACTCTGACAGAGTACACATGTGAGGAATTGGCAGATATTCACCTCACACACGGTCGAGCAAAAAGGAATGGACGCAAAGCATGAAGATTGTACAAACAGTGGTTTCTAACTTGTCGGTTTCCAAGCTATCCAGCCTTTTCCAATGTTGAGCAAAGACTGTGAGAAACCGGGTTTTTTTTTTTTTTTTGCCATCTCAAGCAATGCAGGACGTTCGTGAAACGCCAGAAATGGAGGAATGAGTTTTGGCTAGATTTGAATCAGCTCCTTCCACAAGTATGAGAGCAATGTCATACGAAATAGGTATTTCTCAGCCAGTGGTGTGGCGTATTTTACAGGTGGAACGCACGTACACCTGCCACATGCTAAAAGTGGAATCTTTGGACACAGCTGATTATTCCTGCCAGGCAGACTTTGTGCATTGGATACTTGGACTGGGGAATAATGATCTAGGATTTCCTGTATTAATATTGTTTTCTAATGAGGCAACATTCAACAGAGAAGGCATTTTCAATGTGCACAATCAACACTGATCTGACAGCAATCCCCACTGCACTACCCCTCCACCAGCAAAAGTTTTCCGTGAACATCTAGGCAGGTATCCTAGATTACCAGGTAGGCCCTTACATAATGCCAGACCATTTGACCAGTGCAACATACCGTATCTTCTTGGAACAAGTGCTTCCCAGTTTTATTGCAAGCTGTTCCACTCCCCCTCCAGAGAGACTTGTGGTTTATGCATGATGGAGCCCCAGCATATAACTCCGTAACTTTTTTGATGCTACGAATCCCACAGGATAAATCGGACATAGCGCACCTGTGTCTTGGCCTCCTGGCTCATTGGACCTCAACCCATTGGACTTTTTTTTTCTGGGGGTACGTCAAATGTTTAGTGTACGAGAGGACTGTGGACTCAGCTGAAGATCTTGTGGCAAGAATCATTGTGGCGGACAGAATTAACATGACAATAGGAATCTTCGAGAGATTCGATTCTCACCACGAGATCTTAGTATGCCTGCCTTAGACGTTCACGGAAAATTTCTGCTGGTGTTTGAGGGGTAGTGCAGTGGGGATTACTGCATCCGATGCACAAAGTCTGCCCGGCAGGGATAATCATCTATGTCCAAAGATTGCACTTTTTGCATGTGAAAGAGGTACTCGTGTAAAATATGCCACATCACTGGCTGAGAAATACCCATTTTGTATGCCTCTGCTCGCATACTTGTGAAAGGAGCTGCTTCAAATCTAGTCAAAACTCGCTCTTCCATTTCTGGCATTTGTGCATTTTGCGAACATCCTGCATTGCTTTTTGAGATGGCAAAACCGGTTTCTTGCAGTCTTCAATCAACACTTGAAAAGGTTGGATGACTTGGAATACAACGCTTTGGAAACTGCTGTTCATACTGTTCAACTTCCCGTCCATTTCTTTTTGCTTCAATGTATGTGAGTGCTTCCTTAATTCTTGATAGTCTTGTTCTTTCTCGATGTGTTTCTACTTTCCTCTTTTCTGCTTCTCAGAGTGGAATGTGACGAACCTATGTTCTATGGTAATTATTGCTCGTATGAATGGGTATTATCTTTATCACACCTCTTAATTTGTAAAAACAATTTAGAATCACCCTTTGTTTATTTTCCACATATTTTGGGCCGTTGTAGTGCCCTAAAATCGTAACTGAAACTGATACAAGCACTATCTATCATAACAGTACCTGACATTGAAAATGCAACACCAAGAAGTGACCCAAAAATTATGGAAATTTCACGGTAGATGCATGTCACCGAGGTACGTGAATGATATAAGGGAAGAAATATTGAATGTTCAACTTTTGTGCTGTTATTTCTGCTAGGGAAAATCATCATAGAAAATTTATTCTTGGTCTCTCAAAATGCATGTAATAGCGAAAAATAACAGGCCATTGTCAACGGAGGCAGTTCCAGCAGACAGACGATTTTATGAGCGGCATGGTGGCAACAATGGCTGGAACAAGGAAATGTGGCAAGTTGCAGGGATGCCGGAGCAGCCAGAGTGACGTCAGTATGCGTGAATCAACGTATCCACTGACAAGTGGTTGGATACCCACCAGCCACTTCTACCTCCATCCTGCAGTATGCTGATGATCCCATATCAATGAGAACCATTTGCAGTTGATTGGTGGCTAACGGCCCCCACTCATGGTGTCGATTAAGAAGATTGCCATTAATTCCACATCATAGATGCCAACAATGGTGCCGGGCTCGAGCGGATGTGAACAATGGAGTATCACAGCATTGTGTTCTCAGATGAGTCACTCTTCTGTTTCTCCAATGAAAGTTACTGCATATGACTGTGGCATCGGTATGGAGACAGGTCCAATCTGGCAGCAATTGTGGAATGCCCCACCATGTGGCAACGATGCATCATGTGTTGGGTGCTATTGCGTATGATTTCGGGTAACCTCTGGTTCGTATTCAGGGCACCATGACAGCTCAGTATATGGTGATTCTAAATTGTTTTTACAAATTAATAGGGGTGATGGTACCCAACCAGACGAACAATAATTACCATAGAATATAGGGTCGCATTCCACTCTGAGAGGCAGAAAAGCAGAATAATAGAATTCCAACCTGAACTTACAATAGTGTTGGGACAGCAGTAAGGAAGAACAAAGAGACTATCCAGAATTAACTGTGTTAATTCCTTGTGAAGTTTGATAGTTTCCTTTGTGAAGCGTAGTTGGTGCCGGACAAAACCAGTTAGAGCAAAATTCCTTGAAAATGGCCCAACATCATCACTTCAAGCATTACCTTGATAACATCATCCAAAACTTTTCGTGAATGCTATGGTAGAGTATACATATGAGGAATTGGCAGATATTCACATCACATGTGAAGCAAAGAAGAATAGATCTTAGTGTTCATCCAAGACTGCGAGAAACTTCTTTTTTTTTTTTCCCCAACTCAAAAAGCAATGCTGGGTGTTCGGAAATGCCAGAAATGGAAGAGCGAGTTTTGATTAGATTTGAATCAGCTCCTTCCACAAGTACATGGACAGTCGCATACAAAATTAGTATTTCTCAGCCAGTGGTGTGGCGTATTTTACAGGAAAAGGTTAGATGACTTGGATTCCAAGTTTGAAACCGCTGTTTCTGCAATCTGCGTGCTTCGCGTCCGTTTCACCGTATGTGAGGTGAATATCTGCTAATTCCTCATATGTGTACTCCGCCATAGCATTCACGAAAAGTTCAGACTATGTTATCAAGGACGCCATTTCCTCTGATTGGCTTTATCCAGTACCAACTAAGAACAAATGCTGCTTCTTCTCAGTGCAAATTTGCATATGGTTAATTCTTGATAGTCAGGAGATAGTCTCTTTGTTCTTCCTCAATGTGTTTTTACTTTTCTCTTTTCTGCCTCTCAGAATGGAATGCAACCCTATGTTCTATGGTAATTATTGCTTGTATGGATGGGTATTTATCACATCTCTTAATTTGTAAAAACAATTCAGAATCACCCTGTATATCCACATATATTCGGCCATCATAGTGCCCTGAATACGAACTAGAGGTCACTTGAAATCATACGCAGTAGCGCCCAAACCTATAAAAGAAGATGCACCTTTGTAACATGGTGGCATGTTGCACAATTGCTGCCCCACTCATACACAGTGACTACCATTGGAGAAACAGAAGTGTGACATCAGAGAACACGACCCTGTGATATTCTTGTCCACATTGCTCGAACCGCGGTTGTCATCTATGATGTGGAGTCAATGGACAGTCTTCTTAATGTGCGTCACAAGTACAGGCCGCTAGCCACCAGTCACATGCAAATGGTACTGGTCGACATGGGAACATGCTGCAGAATGGAGGTAGGAGTGGCTTGGGGATGTCTAGCACTTGTTGGTTGATGCATCGATACACGCTTGCTGACGTCACTCTGGCTGTACCGACACCAGTCCAACATTTCACATTTCCTTTGTTCCAGCCACCATCGCCACAACCGGTGCACTGTGGATGTGTCCAGCTGAGATTTGCTGTATGCACCAACTTGCCCTTCTCGGTCACCATGCCCCTCATAAAATCGTCTGTCTGCTGGAACTGTCTCGTTGACGACAGCCTGGCATTTTCTGCTATTACACGCATCTTCTGAGACAAGAACAAATTTTCTGCTATGATTTCCCTAGTTATAACAGCACAAAAATTTAACATTCCATATTCTTACCTTATATCTTCTTCAACATGCACTAGAGCTGCACATTTTGTATCATTTGCATAACTCGGTGACATGCATCTGCCCTGAAATTTGCATAACTTGGGGGCCACTCCTTCTTGGTGTTGCATTTTCAATGTCAGGTAGTGTATGATAGATAAAGAAAGTTCTAGTACTTGCATCAGAATAAGCCAAATGATTAGATATATGATCCTATTTATTCAATATCTGGAATATTTGGTACTTCTCAATTTGTTAGTGAACCAGTTCCTTTTCAATGTATATCCATAAAACTCAGTAGTGATATGTCATGAGGATTGAAATTTAACTTTTCTATTTTAGCTCCCAGACCCATTGAAAATGGTATCTCAAAAGATATGGAAAAATATTTTGAACATGCTATCAATGCAATGGGTGATTCAAAAAAGAGGAGGACAGGTGATGGTCTTCAGGATGAAAGCGACGATGAAGAAGGTGGAATGGCCCCACCTATAAAAGATGTATATCGAGCCAGACAGCAAAAGAAAGTCAAAACTTGAGACATTGTTTGTACCTAATAAAAATTCTGTAAATACGTGTGGATGTAAGCAATTATGCATAACTTCCATGTCATTGCTCAAAATTTTCATTTTCAGAACTCTTTTTCCATGTGTGAATGAGAGGATGAATGTTTGTATCACTTATGTTACATGTTTTGCTAACAATCATGGTGACATGGATTTTAATGGCACCTATTGTTTGAACATGATAATTTCATTTATAGTTTTTTATACAAAGCATATGTGAAAATAAACTATTTCATTGCCATATCATATTGTTGATTTTATTTTCCAGTATGTTTTTCCTAGACATTAAACATGAAATTTAGGAAAAAGAATTTTCACAAAGCAATTTAGAGAAGTTATAAAAACATATCACAATATATATTTAAATAAGTCTCTAATCTAAATCTGTAGTGTAATTTAATTTCTTATTCTGTAAATTAAGCAATTTAAATTTTATTATTTAAAATAATAAAGTTCTAAATAATTACTGGGGGAAATGGTATTTATATGTTTTATATTTATGATTAAAGCCACTGTAGAGTAAGTATTTTGTAATAAATAATTCAATTCATTTAGCATCAGCATGTCATAGAATTTGTCCGATAGCTCAATTAAAGAACTTGAATGAAATCAGCCAATTCAACGAGTTTGTCTGGGTGAATGAATGTTTCTTTAGACCAGTGTGTGGCACAATATTATCTCTCAAGGTATTAAACACCAGTATACAGACAATAGAAGACAGTAATTCCAGGCAGCCCAAAAGAAACATTGATCTATTCCGAAAAATGCACTGTATCAGCACCTATAACGCAATCAATTTTATGCCTCTGACACATTAGAGCGCCTCATGGAGACCGTATTGACAGGTCTTTCCTACGAATCATGTCTGATAGAGCATTCAGAAAAATCTTAGAAGGTGCTTCAGAAACCGTAAGAAGTCAATCTAAAATTAAATCCCGTGAAATGTAAACTATTCAGAATGGAAGTGACACCTCGGACATGTCACATCTGCCGAAGGTGAGTTTGCAGCCTGCCGTCACTTTTTTTGGATCGGAGATGTTCTAAAAATGTCCATCAGCTGAGAAGTGTCCTCGAAGCTTTACACCTGGTATACGAGATTTGTGACAGACTTGACAGAGAGCAAGCAATAGTTTCTGTGGACCAAATAATGTGAGGATACATTTAACAGACTGAAGGAGACTAAACATCTACTACAATCCTCTACATAACCTCAGCCCGACAATGCATTTATTTTTGACATGGTTGCAAGCGATGACAGCGGCGCCGCTGTTTTCTCCCAAGAAATAAACGGTCAGGAACGTTGTCATAGTGTACAGGAGCAAGTGTCTACCTAAATGAGAGAGGAATTACTGTGCCCCCTATAAAAAAAAATGCTTGCCATAGTTACAGCCATAAAACATTTCCATCATTACCTCTACGGCAGAAAATTCCTGCTTCGCACAGATTATGTGCCATACCTGGTTTTTAAATTTCAAGAATCCCGTAGGACAAATACCCAGGTGGATACAAAAGAAAAGAAACCAGGAATATTACATCACTACCCGTCATCGGAAGGATCATCATCACACAGAAACGGTGACATGTTGCCTACAAAAGAAAAGCTCAGAAAGTAGCCGATATTGTTCCAGGGCCGAAGCGAAATACGAGCTGGTTAATCCAGTCACATGTCAGATTGCAACTTCAACATTGGCTGATTGAGACCCATGGAGTGAAGAAGTTGGGAAAGACCAGTTGGGAGATGGCGGCATTAAAGCCATAATTGATTTAAAGAAGTCTTCAAATAGGAAACCTTCTTTGCAGGATATTTCGATCTGTAATCCTATGACAAAACAATATTTGGCTCTCTAGGAACTCGCTCAATATTAGAAATGGTGTCTTGTATCGTAAGTTCGAATCAACAATCTAACATTTATATAATGACAGAAATGCAACACTAAAAAGGTACTGAAATCTCAAAAATTTTTATCAAAATATACCATGCAAAATAACCATTTTCATTTTTCGTAAGCACAATTTAGTAAAGAAATTACAATGTGTCAGTATTAAAGAAGTCAATCTAAAATTAAATCCCTCGAAATGTAAACTATTCAGAATGGAAGTGACTTACCTGAGACATGTCACATCTGCCGAAGGCGAGTCTGCAGCCTGCTGTCACTTTTTTTGGATCGGAGATGCTCCAAATATGTCCATCAGCTGAGAAGTGCCCTCGGAGCTTTACACCTGATATATGAGATTTGTGAAGGACTTGACAGAGAGCAAGCAAAAATTTCTGTGGACCAAATAATGTGAGGATACATTTAACAGACTGAAGGAAACTAACATCTACTACAATCCTGTCATAACCTTAGCCCAACAAAGCATTTTTTTTTTTTTTTGACACGGTTGCAAGCAATGACAGCGGCAGCGCTGTTTTCTCCCAAGAAATAAATGGTCAAGAACGTTGTCATAGTGTACAGGAGCATGTGTCTACCTAAACGGGAGAGCAATTACTGTGCTCCCTAAAAAAAAGTTGCTTGTCATATAGTTACAGCCATAAAACATTTCCATCATTACCTCTACGGCAGAAAACTCCTGCTTCGCACAGATTACGTGCCATACCTGGTTTTTAAATTTCAAGAATCCCGTAGGACAAATACCCAGGTGGATACAAAAGAAAAGAAACCAGGAATATTACATCACTACCCGTCATCGGAAGGATCATCACGCAGAAACGGTGACATGTTGCCTACAAGAGAAAAGCCCAGAAAGCTGCCGTTATTGTTCCAGGGGCAAAGGGAAATACGAGCTTGTTAATCCAGTCACATGTCAAATTACAACTTCAACATTGGCTGATTGAGACCCAGAATATCCTTTAGCATCCACAACAGCTTTTAAACGTCTAGGAATAGATTTTATTAGTTTTTTTTTTCTTTTTGTAATTTCTGTATCAATGTTCATCCATTCTTCCATCATGACTGTTTTGAGTTCGCTTTTCGTTTTGATGTCGTGTTTTCGTACTCTACCCTCCAGTTCTTTCCAAATGTGTTCTATGGGGTTTACATCTGGAGACTGAGGTGGTGTTTTCAAAACCTGTGGACAATTATAGAGACATCACAGGCGAATGTTGAGGGCTGTATGCTTAGGATAGTTATCATGATTAAAAATAAAGTTGTTTCCAATACCCAAATTTTGAGCTGATAATTTTAAATTGTCTCTTAAAATATTTAAATAAAGAAAATGATTCATTATGCCATCAATAAATACCAAATTACCAAGTCCTGATGCTGCCATGCACCCTCACACAAGAATACCTCCACCGTTATGCTTAACTGTTCCAACTAATTTCTTAGAAAGAAGTTCCTCGTTTTTTCTTCTCCATACAGTTATTCGACCATCGAAACCCAAAATGTTAAATTTGCTTTTCTCAGCAAATAGGACATTATTTCAGTATGTTTTGAGTGTATTTATCACTGACTTTGCAAATGAAAGCCTAAGCTTTCTGTTTTTCGCACTAACAAAAAAATTTTTATGGGCAGAACGCCCATGTAATCCAGCTTCTCTGAGAACTCGTCAAACAGTTTCAGGTGAAATTGAAATAGAAAACTTTTCATTAAATTCTGCAGAAACTTTTACAGCACTTAAACATGGGTTTTTCATAAATTTTCTAATAATAAATCTCTCATCACGTTTAGTTAACTTTCTCCATCGACCTTTTCTTACCTTGTTTTTAATCCGATTTTCTTCTTTAAAGCGTTTTATCACATACTGCAATGTAGAATAGAATAAATTAACTAATTTAGCGATATTTTGAATTGATTTACCACTACTATGGTGAAAAATTATCCATTTTAGAATGCTGTTTGTAATTTCTCTACGACTGCGACCCATTTTTCAATATAAATAGAATATTATGAAGTAAAAGTACACAATAAAAATTTAAGCAGACGATTTTTTTAAATGTCACCAAAATGCAAAAATTAAAAAAAGCCACAAACGATAATTCTAATTTTGATTTTATCCAAAAATATTTCAATGTACGAAGACTTTTGTGAGATAAAATGTTTGTCATTTTTTTTATTATTAATTTCTTAAAAATAAAGTTTTGCTATATTTAAAAAATATTTCATGTAATTTTGTTACGAATAGATTATAGATCTTATTATTAAAATCTCATTCAGAAAGTTTACTTTTAATTAATGGATAGAGCCCTATTTCAATGAAAATCATAAGTGTACGAACACTTTTAGGAGCCTCTGTACATATATAATTTTACCACTTTTAACTTTGCTGAACTGGCCTAGATCTTTTCATTATGCAATATAAGGTAGGGTCTTAATTGCAATATAAGATGATTTTTTCCATTTTTTTCAAAGAAATTATGTGCATCCATTAAGATTTGTTCTAGAATTGGATTTATCTTTAAATCTGTTTGAATTTGAGTTTCACACAAACCAACAGGCATTTATTTCAGTGCAACTAAGATCAGAAGTGGTTTTCATTTTATTATGGAGGCACCTAACAGGTGGCCACCATTACCTCCTATGAGAGGACAGACAATTTACATCCATGTCTTCTCCGTGATTCGAACCCACACCTTACCATACCATCTGGGCACATACGTCTCCATTTTAACCCAGATCTTCTAATTCTGCAATGCAGTTGGCTGTTTAAAAATGTTAGGATTTTGCTTGGGTTACCATATTTTGTTTTTTATCAATTACTTCGCACTTAAGAGCAAACAAATCATATATTGCTAAATAAGTGATTGATTGTAATATAATTTTAAAGTAAACTGAAATAAACGTATGTAAAGTAAAATGAGTATAATAAATAAAATAACTTAAACAAAAAAAAAAGTAAGTTTCAAGCAAGTAAAAAAAGATAAAATTTACATTCAAGCAATGTTAATTTTCAAAAGTTTTATGTTAACCTTTTGAAGCCAGGGCTTTGGTAGCAGTAAAAGCCTTGAAAGGATGGGGAATCTTGAACCGAATGCTTTCCCCCCTTTAAGGATTTCTCTCCCCCTTTAAGAAATCACCTCCTATTTGCAACAAAGATTCTTGTGTGTAGTTTAATGGATTCTCAGAGGGGTGCATCTATGTCGCAAAAGGAAGGGAAGTGTAGGGATTAGTGACTAGACTTTAAGATGCTTTTCGTCACTGAGGGAAAATTTCATATTACAGTTGTTCTGGTGTAAACCTGAAATGTGTAAAAATGTGTAAACCTCCATTGAAGAAAATGCCAGTGCTTACAATAATTATTTCTAT